AGGCGCTGAATAACCTTCAATTCCCACTAAATGTGGTGGGCGTTGAGGACACCCAGCTAGGGCTGCCAACTTTCTAAGTGCACAAAAATGAACACCCTTGCTCTGCTCCTTGCCCCACCCCTCCTGCTCTGGCTGCGGGTGCAGGCGCTGGGGATGAGGGGTTTGGGGTGCAGGAGGGGGCTCGGGCTGAGGGGTTCAGAGTGTAGGAGAGGGCTCTGGGCTGGTGCAGGGGGTTTGGGTACGGAGGGGTGTGAGGGCTCCAGCTGGGGGTGCAGGAGGGGGCTCTGGGCTGGGACCAAGTGTTCGAAGGGTGGAAGGGGGATCAGTGCTGGGGCAAGGGATTGGGGTCAGGGGTGCAGGCTCAGGGTGGTGCTTATCTCAAGCAGCTCCCAGAAGCAGCATCATGCCCTGCTCCTGCTCTTACGCATCCAACTGGTTCCCAGCCAATGGGAGCTATGGAGCTGGCGCTTGGGACAGAGGCAGTGAGTGGAGCCCCCGGCTGCCCCTTTGCCTAGGAACAGGAGGGGGGACATGCTGCCGCTTCCAGGAGCCGCACAGAGACACGGCAGGCAGGAAGCCTGCCTCAGCCCCGCTGCACCACTGACCCGACTTTTAATGGCTCAGTTGGCGGTTCTGACCGAGCCACCAGGGTCCCATTTTGATTGGGCGTTCTGACTGAAAATCGGACACCTGGCAACCCTACACCCAGCAGGATCAAGCTCATGAGTTTGCAAAGTGTTGTGTAAATATACAGAACTACAGAAAAGCTTTATATAAAGAAGCATGAAACAGAGCCTCAGAATAACTATGTGCTCTATGAAACTTTATTTGCATAAACTTAAAACCCAAAAGCCACATCAGGAGTTGCAGTTGCTCAGCATTGCTCAGAATTTAGCCCTGAGGCTGTATAGCCTGATCAAAATCTCCAAGTAATTTAAATAAATGCCTTTAGCACCAGTGAAATAAAGAGCATCCATTTGGGGGAAGGAGTGAGCCAGCTAAGCGGATGTGAAACATTAGGATTTCCCTTTAACATTAAGCATGAAGATTTAAGTCACAGCAGCCTCTCAAATTAGCCACCACATCCTTGGGCAGAAATTGGTCGTCGCAGGACCCACTACCTTCACACAGCAGAAATGGCATGGATAAGTTACAAATGTAAGATTAGAATGGATAATACACAAACATTTGGTTCAGCCCCAGGCAGGAGGGATCCAGGGAGATTAGTCCATTTTAACAGATTGCCCCTCTGTCACTTTTTCCACTCTTTCCATCCTGAGCAAAATGATCCTCTTTAATCTTTGTCTGGCTGATTCCATATCCGGAAAAGATGAAAGTTCTATTATAAACAATATGACGCTTTTTGGGAAACTGAGGTGTAGCATCAGTTCCATAAGGTTCTAATACTGGTTAACACCTTTCTCCTGTTCTGAACCACTGGGATAAGGTCAGGCAGAGGAGAACATTACTGTATTGGTACCTGATTTCCTGTTTGTTTCCTTTAATATGTGCTCTTGATCCATCACGTCCAGATGCATCACAGCTAAAGTAGAGTAACATTCATGTCTTCTTTCCACTACGGCACGCTCCCTCAAGCCCCATCCTCCCTACCCCGAGTGGTGCGCTCCTTCCTACCACCCAACCTCTCCCGACCCCTGCCTTGACACACTACCCTCTGCCCCACACCTCCTCGACTCCCACCCCCAGGTACAGCAGGCTCTCCTTTGCCCCACCCTGCCCCCCAGCTACGGCCAGAATCGCCTCAAGCTTTCAGAGGTGTAGGTTATATTTCCAAATATTGTAGATCCTATTTACAGTGGGCCCTGCCTGGCCTGACTTCAGGGGGACTGCATGGCTGCAAGTGATGGCAGGATTTGGCTAGTATGTCCTGGTTTAAAAAGAACCTAGTACATTATCCATGACTGGAACCAGGCTTGAGGACTCTTTACTGACAGATATTCAGTATAATCATTTGGATGTATCTTTCTACTAACAAAGGAATTTTTTGAAGTGGTTTTAACCATGATGGGAGAGCCAGGATTCCTGGAATCTGTTCCCAGTTCTGTCACTGACTTGATGAGTGACCTTGGGCAAGTCACTTAGGGCCATTTTCAGAGGTGCTGAGTACCTCCAGCTTCCATTGACATCAGCTGCCTACCTGTCTGTCTTAGGAGTTCATATGGCAGCCCGTCAAAGTACTCTTGGAGTGTCTTCCACAGAAGATTAAATTGGCAATAGCGAAGTCCCTTGTGAACTTCAACTGGAGATGCAGGTGCTCAGTAACTCTGAAATTCAGACCCTTAACATCTCTATGCATCATTTCACCCATCTGTAAAATAGAGATAATAATGCTTACCTATGTTACGGCGGTGTTGTAAGGTTTAATGAATGTAATCCTTGTATAGTGCTGTGAGAGCCTCAGATAACAATTGCTTCCGAAGTGCACAGCATACATTACAATGTTCTTCTTGTTATGCCTGTGTTGCTGTTCCCTGTTTCCTGGGCAGTGCTGAGAGAATCTTGCCTCTTTTCTCTCATGAACTAGTAACTTATCAGGCTCCTCTCCACCTGCCCGTGTCCTCATGGTGATAACTCCTAATCTCCCCTCCAGTGAAGTCTCTGATGTATTTGACTTTGTATGTTTATGAACATAATTATTCTAATAGTTTCCTTATGGTGCTGTGGTTTCAAGGTACCTCTGTTTGCAAGTCCGAGCTCAGGACCAGGATAATGGAATATGGCACCTGAGAACCTTCTGCTGTTATCAGCTAATTAGTTTATTTTTTTGTTCTTATCTCCAGTCACCTTCTACTCCTGAGCTGGGGAGCCAGGGAGATGGTTAGTTTCAGAAAGGGAAATAGATTCAGTTAGTAAAATCAAATAGCTCTGGGTATTGGTCTGCCCCAGCAGCAGCCATCTTGTTTGCAGCTTTCTACTCCCCACATTGGACTGTTTTCTAGGCTCAGTTAACCAGATGCAAAAGCATTTCTTGGTAGCAATACATTTCCTATACATCTTTTTACTGACAGGTTCAAGAACAGAACTTTGAGGACACACACTTGCTATTGCTGTAATTTATTGAGAAAAAATTCCAGACACAAACACTCCTGAACTCCAGAGTTCAAAACTCAGGTCCTACCCCAAATTCTACTGACTTCCAGGGTATTTGGGTTTGGCTCATTGTAGAGGTAAATTCAATCTGGAAATTCAGATCCATATTTATGACTTGGATCCGGGATTTTGGTTAAGATTCATCTCATATTTTTAGTGAATTGAGTTTTAGAGACCAGGTGAAGTCATCTCTTTCACAGAACAGGTAAAGCACAAGCAGTGATTAGGCAAACCTCCCATACAACCCTGCTAATATGCCTCACCCCTGACGTGAAAGGACCTCTTCCTGTGTTGAGATAGGAGCTCAGTCTCCATGACCCATTTGGTCCATAGCCTTGCAGTAAAAAATGCCGATTATGGTGGGAGTTTTTGTGGACTGAGACCCACCAAACTCATTTCACAAAAGCCACTGAACAGTCAGCAAATGTTAACAACTTTTGGTCACCCCATCCAAGGATGGACATAAAACCAGTGATCAGATTCTTTGTTTTGCTACTGATCCCGTGAGCCATCTAGCCCCTTGAACTGATCCAGTTTAGAATCCAATTTTCTCATGATGTTCAGAGCCAGTTTCTGAGGAAAAGAGGTTTTAGGCTGGTGAAGATGTAGAGCTGTCCATAATTTTACAGCATCAGACTCCACAGCTGATGGCAAAATCATTAGAACCCCCCAGTTTTTCACAGTTCTAAAACTCTAATATTACCCACTGCACAGAGGCTGTTAAACTCGGGTGTCCAGCATATGCAAGGAAAAGCTATGCCGAAGTGCACCCTCCAACATGTAACTTAGCCCCAGGGGAAGGTGTTTTTTCCACTGACCCAATGAAAAGATTCAACATCTATTTCCTCAGTCCCTGCAAATAACTGCAATCTGGCACTTTACACCCCTGCACTGAATTCTCTCTTTAGGCTGCCATCAGACAACAACCATCCATGGACTTCAACTTCACCGTTCAGGTTAACAATTTACCAATGCCTCCTGCTTGCTACAACACACACACACACACCTCCTCAGCTCCTGGTGGTAACGGGGAGGTAGAGAGAAAAACAAAAGGCGATCAGACTCCAACCTCTATTTGCTGGAAAGAAAATCTGACACTTGATTTCTGAAGTGCCAGCAATGGAACTTTGTGGGGAGTCAGTAAAGTGTATTCTTTTTATAGTCTGTTTCCATGGTGCATTGAGGATCCCCTGGCAAATTCTGCAGCTGCAGAACGTTGGAAAATTCGATGGTCTAGGTATAATCATGTGGCAGTCTGCCCCCTCCATTCCCAAATCAAAATCCAGAGGCATAATATTGTCACCAAACAGCTGAGCCTCTTCCCAGCTGGAGACAAGAAGGAAGTGACTGGAGCTGACTCTCCAGCAAGATGCCGAACAACTCATGAAAAGAGAACACCTGAGCAACAGAAGCAAAGCCTAGGGATCAGTCCCGATCTGCTAAAGCCCTTCAGCAGTTTGGAAGATGGCAGAGAAATACATTCCTCTTCATCATGGATATTTTTATATTAATTTCACTTAAAACCACCATATGTCTAAAGAACATGCAGATAGTAATGAACAATAACTGCACTGAATACATTTCTGTTCCTCTCCTCCGTGCCCTTTTGGCAAAAACCTTGCATGGATTTTTAGAGACAGACTTTCAAAAACAAAATGTTGTGTGCACACAACCTACACACAGCAACACTGTCTGCAACCTGCATGTGCACACAAGCTAGACATGTGCAAAACTGTTCCTGTGAAAATCTGGCCATCACTACTTTGAGCTGCCAAGCATCAGCCATTCACCCTACCCCTTCAGTCTGGACAGAAATCTGCTCTGCACCTGGTGCCTCTCAGCACCTCTTGGAGTAAGACACTCTGTTAGTCAGGAAGAGAGCAACTCACCTGCTCCTGTGAATTCATGACCCGCAGCTTCATTTGCTTCAGATAGGTGGAGGTGAGAGGCATGTTGTAGTCAATGATTCCAGAGACCAAAGAGGAGGGTGGCTCATTTTCTGAAGTAAAAAACAAAAGGAAAGCTGCTTTTAGATGTGGGAGCACTGCAGCACGGACCTGACACTGTACTACCAACAGCATTATTTAATATCTGAATTGCAGTCACCCCCCAAAGCCCCCATTCCGTATTTAGGCCCACAGTGCTACACGCTGCATAAATGCCCCACCCTGACAGGAATTCCCTTTCATTGCAATGAACCATCCTATGTGGAAATGGTTACACACAATGTAACATTTTTAGTTTGGGTGACTAAACATTAAACACAGAATGAAACATCGAACCCTGCCAGAAGGCTCAAAATCACCTCTGTCCAAATGGAACACAGAGAGAGTTTCACAAACAACCAGCTTTTTCCAGCCAGTTGTAGTGTTGCAAAGTCACTAAACTGGGAGGAGAGGTAGATACGCTGGAGGGTAGGGATAAGATACAGAGGGCCCTAGAAAAATTAGAGGATTGGGCCAAAAGAAATCTGATGAGGTTCAACAAGGACAAGTGCAGAGTCCTGCATTTAGGACGGAAGAACCCAATGCACCGCTACAGACTAGGGACCGAATGGCTCGGCAGCAGTTCTGCGGAAAAGGACCTAGAGGTGACAGTGGACGAGAAGCTGTATATGAGTCAGCAGTGTGCCCTTGTTGCCAAGAAGGCCAATGGCATTTTGGGATGTATAGGTAGGGGCATTGCCAGCAGATCGAGGGACATGATCGTCCCCCTCTATTCGACATTGGTGAGGCCTCATCTGGAGTACTGTGTCCAGTTTTGGGCCCCACACTACAAGAAGGATGTGGAAAAATTAGAAAGAGTCCAGCGGAGGGCAACAAAAATGATTAGGGAACTGGAACACATGACTTATGAGGAGAGGCTGAGGGAACTGGGGATGTTTAGTCTGTGGAAGAGAAGAATGAGGGGGGATTTGATAGCTGCTTTCAACTACCTGAAAGGGGGTTCCAAAGAGGATGGCTCTAGACTGTTCTCAGTGGTAGCAGATGACAGAACAAGGAGTAATGGTTTCAAGTTGCAGTGGGGGAGATTTAGGTTGGATATTAGGAAAAACTTTTTCACTACGAGGATGGTGAAACACTGGAATGTGTTAGCTAGGGAGGTGGTGGAATCTCCTTCCCTAGAAGTTTTTAAGCTCAGGCTTGACAAAGCCCTGGCTGGGATGATTTAATTGGGGATCGGTCCTGCTTTGAGCAGGGAGTTGGACTAGATGACCTCCTGAGGTCCCTTCCAACCCTGATATTCTATGATTCTATGATTCTAAAGCTAGGAAGGGTTTACTTAGTAGGCCTAAGGGAGAGGGGGCTGATGAAAAAGAAGCTTCAAGGAGCACGGTAGGCAGTCATCCAGGGGCAAGAGCAGTAAGATTGGTAAAGTCCCTGACCAGCTGCTTGCTATAGGGCCCTGGACTGGAACCCAGAGCAGATGGCAGGCCTGGGTTCTCCTACCATCCACTGCAGAGTGGTATTGCTAGGGGCAGTGAATAGGAAGACTGCTGGAGTCACTGTGGGCATGACACAGGGCAGCCGCATGCTGCTGGTGCAGAAGGACTTTGAAAGACTCCCTGGGAAGGGGAAATCATGGTGTAACCCAGCCAGAGGGCGGAGTCATGAAGCAGCTGTATTGCGACTCCGTGAGCGAGAGGAGAGCTGCAAGGGTGGAAGACCAGAAAGGGGGCACTGAACCAGGTGGAGCTAATCCCAGAACTGCCAGAAGGGGGCACCACCCAACAGTGAGTAGAGCGCCCTGTGACAGAGGGTTGTCATATTTGGGCCATATCCTCTTTTTCCCACTGCCCTAAGCATGAGCAAGGGTGGGTCTGTGTGAGATGAAAAGAGAAAAATCTCTCCCTCTAGGATGCTTCGTATCCACTGCTGAAGCCCTGAGGCTGAAGTAGCCTTTGCCGCTCTTGCATTTCTGCTCTGCGGGGATCAAATGGTTAGTGGATCTGAACATACCTGGGCTTGTCTTCCACTCCTCCTCCTATCCCATCCTATGTGGCGATGCGCAAGGTGTAGTGCCCAGAGGTGGGGACTCACTATGCTTTGGCAGAATCCCAGCTAGGACGGCATGAGTAAGAGCAATGGGATGAAATTCTTACGAACAGAAAATGGAGGCGATCAGGAGGAGACAAAGGTCTATTAGTCTCCAGGAGATGTGGTGCAAGCACCATCACCCTGGGACCTATAAAACTAGTCTGGACAAAGCACTCCTGCATTGTAAGGGGGATGGACGAAGTGGCCTTAAGGGTCTTTTCATCGTCTAGCGTCTATGATTATACCTTCCATAGCAGTACTACTATATGGCGGGGTTGTTTTTTTTTTTTCACTATGTTGCTTTGCTTTGGTTGTCTTCTACCATCTCTCTGTTAAAATATTAAAACAAAAAATAATAGCTTTAACTTTCTGTAAAAAGTCACCATACAAATATTGGGGTGTTTCTGTCATTATGGACACTCTTTCTGCCTTTTTTCAGAGGAACAGCCGTGTTAGTCTGTATTCGCAAAAAGAAAAGGAGTACTTGTGGCACCTTAGAGACTAACCAATTTATTTGAGCATGAGCTTTCGTGAGCTACAGCTCACTTCATCAGATGTATACCGTGGAAACTGCAGCAGACTTTATATACACACAGAGAATATGAAACAATACCTCCTCCCACCCCACTGTCCTGCTGGTAATAGCTTATCTAAAGTGATCAACAGGTGGGCCATTTCCAGCACAAATCCAGGTTTTCTCACCTTCCACCCCCCCACACAAATTCACTCTCCTGTTGGTGCTAGCCCATCCAAAGTGACAACTCTTTACATAATCAAGTCGGGCTATTTCCTGCATAGATCCAGGTTTTCTCACATCCCCCCCACCCCCATACACACACAAACTCACTCTCCTGCTGGTAATAGCTCATCTAAACTGACCACTCTCCAAGTTTAAATCCAAGTTAAACCAGAACATCTGGGGGGGGGGGTAGGAAAAAACAAGAGGAAACAGGCTACCTTGCATAATGACTTAGCCACTCCCAGTCTCTATTTAAGCCTAAATTAATAGTATCCAATTTGCAAATGAATTCCAATTCAGCAGTTTCTCGCTGGAGTCTGGATTTGAAGTTTTTTTGTTTTAAGATAGCGACCTTCATGTCTGTGATTGCGTGACCAGAGAGATTGAAGTGTTCTCCGACTGGTTTATGAATGTTATAATTCTTGACATCTGATTTGTGTCCATTTATTCTTTTACGTAGAGACTGTCCAGTTTGACCAATGTACATGGCAGAGGGGCATTGCTGGCACATGATGGCATATATCACATTGGTGGATGTGCAGGTGAACGAGCCTCTGATAGTGTGGCTGATGTTATTAGGCCCTGTGATGGTGTCCCCTGAATAGATATGTGGGCACAATTGGCAACGGGCTTTGTTGCAAGGATAAGTTCCTGGGTTAGTGGTTCTGTTGTGTGGTATGTGGTTGTTGGTGAGTATTTGCTTCAGGTTGCGGGGCTGTCTGTAGGCAAGGACTGGCCTGTCTCCCAAGACTTGTGAGAGTGTTGGGTCATCCTTTAGGATAGGTTGTAGATCCTTAATAATGCGTTGGAGGGGTTTTAGTTGGGGGCTGAAGGTGACCGCTAGTGGCGTTCTGTTATTTTCTTTGTTAGGCCTGTCCTGTAGTAGGTAACTTCTGGGAACTCTTCTGGCTCTATCAATCTGTTTCTTTACTTCTGCAGGTGGGTATTGTAGTTGTAAGAAAGCTTGATAGAGATCTTGTAGGTGTTTGTCTCTGTCTGAGGGGTTGGAGCAAATGCGGTTGTATCGCAGAGCTTGGCTGTAGACGATGGATCGTGTGGTGTGGTCAGGGTGAAAGCTGGAGGCATGCAGGTAGGAATAGCGGTCAGTAGGTTTCCGGTATAGGGTGGTGTTTATGTGGCCATTGTTTATTAGCACTGTAGTGTCCAGGAAGTGGATCTCTTGTGTGGACTGGACCAGGCTGAGGTTGGTGGTGGGATGGAAATTGTTGAAATCATGGTGGAATTCCTCAAGGGCTTCTTTTCCATGGGTCCAGATGATGAAGATGTCATCAATATAGCGCAAGTAGAGTAGGGGCTTTAGGGGACGAGAGCTGAGGAAGCGTTGTTCTAAATCAGCCATAAAAATGTTGGCATACTGTGGGGCCATGCGGGTACCCATAGCAGTGCCGCTGATCTGAAGGTATACATTGTCCCCAAATGTGAAATGCCTTTGTTTCACTGGGATCAAAAGTAGCTGAACCTCAACTGTTGGGAATGGGCCACATTCACCCTGATTGAATTGGCCTTGTTAGCACTGACCGCCCCCCACTTGGCAAGGCAACTCACATCTTTTCATGTGCTGTATATTTATACCTGCTTACTGTATTTTTCACTCCATGCATCTGATAAAGTGGGTTTTAGCCCATGAAAGCTTATGCCCAAACAAATTTGTTAGTCTCTAAGGTGCCACAAGAACTCCTTGTTTTTGCTGATACAGACTAACACGGCTACCCCTCTGAAACTCAGTTGCTTTAGATATTCAGATAAATGAATATAGCCCTTCATTAATAAGGAGTGAGCATAGAGTGCTTATAACATGTCAGCAGCAGTCTAGGATTAATCTGTTCTTCGTTCTCAGAGGGCTGGTTTCGGGGGTTCCTCCAAGGACTGTACGTGCAGAAGGTTTATTGGTATTCTAGGGATCTCTCTCCCCTAACTAATGTATACAGAGGACGTGAGCTGATAATGACAAACACTCTGCCCTCCAAAGACCTCTGCCGCTGGCAAGAGGAAGCGGCCTGAAAGCAGCTGGACCTTGAAGACCTCTGCTGTCTGACCAGGTGGGGTAGCAGTTTGAGGAGCACAAAGTGATATCCTCAGAATATCTCAGTAGCGTGAGTCGGGGAAGGTGGAGGGTGTGTCTGCAGTGGCTTTTATCCAAGAACCTATGCGATCAGAGTGGGAGAAGAAATTAACAGTAGCCTCCTTCCAAAGATTCTTGCT